ATAAAGAAAAAGAGTGGTATGTTCTTCTTACCCCAATTTAAAGATCAGGTGGCTGAAGCGTTGTCTAACCATTTTCCCTAAATGATTGAGCTTGGTAGAGGTAGAATCAGGTTCCAACCCATGTCTTGTGTGACCTGAAGCAAGTTCCTATGCTCCAAACAAGAGGGTTGGGCCAGGCGGACGGCAAAGACCGGGGCACTCTGGGATGAGGAGAGATCACGGGCCAAGTGAAAGGCAGGTGCATGCAGGGGAGGTCTGAGAAACAGGCTGAACACGGGCTCGAATGCCCTTTGGGGAGAATTCGGCCGTGATTGGAGAATTGCCCCTTGGGAATAACCTTCCCACACTACTCGCCTCTCTACAAACATTCAGATTATCGAGGTATCCACTGGCGTGTGTGTACACACGAACTTAATCGTGCCTGCTGGCTCTGCAGCAGCAAGGCCTGCTGTACCTTCTATGGGCAGAACAGAGAGTCCTGTGATGTGAGCAAAGTTGAATTCTTTGAAGATCGCTGCCCCCTGAACACCTACAAAAATTTAGGTGGCAGAGCGATCCGGCTACCCAGTTGCTTGACAGTGGTTTCTGCTACCAATGATTTGATTTTTCACCTAATCCGGCAGCCTCTCTGAGGGAAATAATGAATGAAGGGAGGCGTTGCTGCTTTCTCCTCCACCGTATTCAACCGTCAATGTTACAACACTTATTCGAGCTTCCCCAGAAAAAAGTGAAGAGAAACAGGCTGACATGAGGAATTATATTCTGCTATACCTTAGGGACTTGGGGGTGGGAGAAAGATTAAAGAAAGTCTTGACATGACATTTTTAAAACAACAATGTATATAGAAGTTGAGGTGATAAGTATATTCTTAAGAGTACACATTTTATAAAAATAATAATTATTACCATTGGTGGAGGGCCCACTATGTGCCAGGCCATTGCTAGCAGGAGGCGACACAATAGCTCACTAAATGAAATCTTCATGACTGCCGTGCTAGGGAAGTGGTAATCCCACTTTTGTAGATGCACTAAGCAACAGTTTGGGAGGCTGAGCAATTTGCCACATGCCCCTCATTGAATATTCAGCAGAACTGGAGTGAAACCCTAGTCATATGTTATTTCAAGGTTTTGGTGTCTGCACTGTGTTGCTTTACTCTTATCTATACCTACATTAATTAAAACACAACCAATTTAAAGGCATTTGAATAATGCAACAATTAAAAAGACATCAGCTGATTTCTTTTTTCCCCCCTGAAATGACACGTTCCTGTTTTTTTTTTTCTTTACCCAAAAGGAGACAACAACATTAGCCTACTAGTTTCTCCCCGATTAATGCTGTGGGATTTTACCTGGGAGGATCAGCAAGACCTCTGAGCAGACGCCATCCATCCCAATGCAGTGTTGTTATGTGCCTGTCTGTATGCGTGATGTCAGAGGGGATTGTTCGCAGCTCCCCTGTTCTGGCGGGTTCTCACCTGCAGCGCTTCTCGAAAATGTCTTCCTTGGCATATTATTTTTAATTGCTTGTGGTGTTGTTTTTTTTTTTTTACTGGGAAAGTACTGTGCAACCAAGATTATCAGTGCTACCTTGGAGGAATCTCAGGAATTCCACTAGTAAGTACAACGCTACTCCTCTGACAACAGGCAGGATGGGAGATGTCTGAGCATTGTCCGAGGTCATAGGACCTGGCGGCCCTTGCAGAGGCAGCATGAAGCACTTTCAAAGAATCTACATAAGCCCTGGCTGGTAGCTTGGTTGGTTAGAGTATTGCCCCAATACATCAAGGTCATGGGTCCGATCCCTAGCCAGGGCACATGCAAGAATCAACCAATGAAAGTGTAAATAAGTCAGACAACAAATTGATGGTTTTTTTCTCTCTCTGTCTGTCTCTCTTTCTCTAAACAATAAAAAAAATAAATAAGAAACAACCAAAAACCAAAGAATCTATGTCAGCCCAGAGTACCAAAGGTGAGGAAAAGGTTCTGTGGGATGGAACAAGCAAGTGCTCTGAGTCAGAAAGCCCTGGACTCACAGACCTTATCAAACACCTGAACAGTAGAGGTAGTAGCAGTAGTAGCAGTAGTGGTAGTAATAATACCCACATTCTCTGCCTTGTTCCAGCAGATATGACTTAGTGATTTTGTGACCTTGAACAAATGACTTAGCCTTTTCATAACTCAGTTTTCTCCTCTGTAAAGTAGGAGCAGTGACATCATGTTACCGCTTTGAAAACAAAATGAAATGGTCTCAGTGAAGACTCTCTTTGCTCCAAATGATAGAAACCCAGTCAGAATCAGGCAAAGTAGAAAGAGCACTTAATTAAAAGTAATGTCTCTCAGAAACACACACACAGTTGGGTCTGAGAAACACTAGAACTAGAGGCCCACGTGTCATCCAGAATCTCTCTCCATTTCCTGTTGCTGCTTCCCCGGAGGCACCTGCGGTGGTCCTTCCCACTGCTTAACCCCAGGTGGCAAACACAAGGCCCGAGGGACAAATCCGGCCCTCCACCTTGTTTTATCCGGCCTGGCACCTTGTTTCTACCCAGCAGCAGAGCCGAGCTCCTTGCCCCTAGTTAAGAAGTAGTTCCATGTATACAGTCCTAAAATTCCATTCAGCCCTTTGAAGGCAACTGCACGGCTGATGTGGCCTCCAGTGAAAATGAGTTTGACACCCCTGGCTTAAGCTGACATGGCAGAACACAGCCACCAATGTCCCTCAACCCAGGCTAAGAGACAAACTGGTCCAAGTTCTGAATCCCAGGGAAGCACTGGGATTGGCCCAGCTCATGTCATGTGCCTACGTGTAAACCAATCAATTATCTGTAGAGAAGGCACAGTATTTTATTCTACTTACATGCTGCCTCTATGGTAAGCCTGAGGATAGGGAGAGGTGGGTGTTTTGTAGAAGAAAGAAGATTAGTTACTAGAAAAGAGTTTCACCACAGATGAAATAATTGGTGTCAATTGCAACAATATATGAGAAATAGTTATCACTGCACCTAGTCCAGAATAGCCACACATATGTATGGGTTTTTATGGGGTTTTTTTGGCCAATATATAGATTTCTGCACATTTTGAAAGGTGGTATTTTAAAAAACAAAATAAGTACAGTATTATGTGCTAATTATAATGAATATAGAACATCTAATGTTAAAAATCAGAAGAGAACATAGATGCTGTGAACCATTTATGTTTTAGGTACCTAGTACTTTCTCCATCAATTTAAAGACAATAGAAAATCAACAAGTTTTAATATAGGATTTTATTTCCTTACCTTCTCCTCTTTCTCCTGTCCCTTTTCACTTTTCTGAAACTGAAATCTTCTCACTTTTCTACTCTTGCCTTCAATTACTTTTTGGTCTTTAGTTGCTTTAATTTTGGGAGCCCACCACTGAAATGTTATCGTTAAAGGTCTAAAGGACCATATACAGTACTGGAAACTATTTCAAAGAGCAACTGAATGATCTTATATGGTTATCACTAACCATTGCTCCAAGTTGGAGGTGAAAAAAGACAATTCCTGTTTTTCCCTTTTTCCCCAAAATACACTGAACAATTTTGCCAAGTCATTTGTGATCCCCGCAGCCTCCTAAATCTGTGTGGTCATTCCTAGACTACTTGTCTCTCAGAGAGGATGTGGGAGCATCAGCGGATTAAGTATGCATAGGCCCATTCACAGGGAGAAGTGAAAGAAGCACAAAACAAGATACTTCCCCTTCTTATCAGAACGGGAATTCCCACCCAGAGGAAGAATGTTTTCTGTGCAAGGAAGACAAAGGGATCATTATGCTTGGATTAAATTGTAGGGACCCAACTGTACTCTGACCATAAACTCCAGACCTCAATAAGGGGTCAAGTCAACATATTTTAAGTTTTAGAAAGAAATCACTTGTGCTGCTTCCCAGAATGCCTTCTGGCTGATCTCAGTATATTACTAATTCGTTTTTCAGAAAATAGTTTCACCCTGGCTGGTATAGCTCAGTGGATTGAGTGCCAGACTTCGAACCAAAGGGTCACTGGTTCAATTGCCAGTCAGGGCACATGCCTGGGCTGTGAGCCAGGTCCCTATAGGGGCCGCTCTAGAAGCAACCACACATTTCTGTTTCTCTTCCTCTCTTTCTCCCTCCCTCCCCTCTGTCTAAAAATAAAAATAAATAAATAAATAGATAAATAAATAAATATTTTTCTTAAGTTTCAGGACTTTTCAAATAAAATGAGGAGAAAAAGTGTGCCTATCATGTTTTAAAAAAAGACATTGAAAGTCTCATCTTGCATTGCATTTCATTGTTATGACATGATTCCTCTATAGGAGGAGAAATTAAACTGATAAAGCAATAGTGTCCCAAGTGGCAGTTAAAAGGGAGGAATTCACTGATTTAGAAATCTATGTTAACAGTTAAAGATTACTCCACATTTGCTCTCAAACATGAAAAGAATTCCAGGAGGGAAAGAAGTTACCAGAATAATAACATGGTCTTGAAATAAATTTTACAAAATCCATAGGACAAAAGGAAAAGGTCCCAACGGGGCTGCTTGGTTACAGCTTAAATGAAACATACATTGATTGAAGACTCACACCACTTAAAACATATTACACAAATGCTTAATTTTTGTCCTTTAAAAATTCTATCAATTCCTTTCTTGGTGGTTAGGATATTAAAATATGCAAATAAGCATGCTGTAGTTGATCAGTGCTAATCTTTGTGCAATAACTAATGTTCTCTCTCAATAGCCACCACTCCTCCTATTCATGTCACCTTCACCCAGGAGTCACAAAATGCTGAAGACAGTCGCTTTTTACTTGATTAAATTTTAGGAGGTTGAAGCTAGGCCAAAAACCTCACCCTACTCTTTCCTAAATACTTTTCCTCCTCTTTCTTAATTACATGGCTTTCTTCTGATTTGCATGAATTTCAGCTTTCAAAATCATTGGTCTTTGCTGAATGCAAATAGGCACATAAGTTTGCACAATTGATCTTTCATCATTCCAAATGGTACCTTTGAACAGTTCCTGAAACGTCTGTCTGAAATACTCCCAGCGCTGAGTGTCATCAAGAGGCGCGGGGTCACCCTGGGGAAACCCATTCTCAGTGATGTAAATTACAGGGTTATTATACGTATCCTGGAACAAGAGAGCAAAAGTTTTATTCCAAACAGATGTAAAAAAAAAATGGCTCATAAAATCAGGTGCATTATCCTCTATCTTCTCTAAGCTACAGCCCCAAACTAGTTTTCATCAAATTGCACTGACCCTATTAACTTAATTTTCCACGCACTGATCTTTTATGACTAACAATGGAAAAGCAAAACTGTGCAAATGTGCATGAAAGAGTCAAATGACTCCTCTTCTAATGGGAAGACAGAAATATCTTTCTTCCCTCAGCATCTGCTGGTTGTCACTGCTCCTTAACCCTTTTGTGCCCCCAGCAGCTACACTCTCTATCCTCCCCCCAGAAGGGGTCCTGAAAACTACTAACTTGACATTTTAATTTCAGCTACCTGCATACCACCCAGCACAACACAGACTCCAAAAGGACCCAGCTATTTCCACCTTAATACGCCTTTTAATAATCACAGTCCTGACACCAGCCTGAAAAATATATCCAAGCTTTTTCCTATGGCCATGGCTGACTTTATTTTTTTTAAGTATATTTTAAAAGTGAGTCCTAACTTTGACCATGGTTTCTGAAGCCTTTTCTCAGCTAGTTACCCCTCACCGATTTATATCTTAATCTTCTCTTCCTGGGCCAACAATATTGCATATGCTATTGCCTAAAATCACTCTTTCTTTCCAGTCCATATACACATGTATCTAGGCCTATCTTCCCATCCTCACATATTTGGGTGTACAGGGACACAAATGTGCATTTACCTTAATGTATTTCAATATGGTACTACAGATTCCCCATGGTACCACATAGACCCAATCCAAACTTATCCAACACGGATCTGGAAAAATTTCAATCTCTGCATCCTGAAGAATACCCAGTTCTCCTTTATGGTTCTCCTGGTGCTTGACGAGGAGACTGGAATAATACTGCACAGCAAAGAAATCAACCGTGCCTTTGATCATCCTCTTCTCTTCTTCTGTAAACTGTGGAAGCCTCGATGATGGGTAGCCTTGCTTTTGGCTCATGGAGGCAACCTGGGTCTTGACAACTTCTGGATAATTACCATCAACAAATATGGGTTTAGCAAAGAAATCCAAGTGGAATGCCAAGGCTCTTTCAGCGGCTTCCTGATCAGACACCGAGTTGGCGTCAGCTGGTTCCACCCAGCCAGCAAACAATGCGAGGGACACCGTGCCCTTCTGCTCTTTGCGGAATAAGGAGTCATAGCTGCGCCAGGCTCTCGCGTGGGCCTTAATCAAAGAATGCGCTGCCTGATAGCCTGCAGTTCCTGGGTGAGGCACCCCGGGAGGAAACGTACCTAACTCGTATGCCATGAGGACAAACATATTAGGCTCATTGATGGTGATCCACTGCTTGACGCAGTCCCCAAACGTACTGAAGCAAAAGCGGGCATATTCATCAAAGGATTCAGTGGTTGCCTCTGCCAACCAACCTCCTCGGTCTTCTAAGGCCTGAGGCAAGTCGAAGTGGTAGAGCACCACGATGGGCGTGACCCGGTTTGCTAACAAATTGTCGATGATCTTGTTGTAGTAGTCAATTCCTAGGAAAAAAAAAAAACGAAGCTATATAAGAAGAAAAGTTACTTTTAGTATGTTGACAATAACTTTTAAGAGGAGAAGGCTGGGAATAATTTCCTAAATAAAATTCGTTCAAAATAAGGTTTAATACTTCCTACGTATGATCAAAGGCTGAGAGGAAATATAAAAGAATTCCAAGGAAGACTGGCAGATCTGGGAGTGGGAGAGCGATGGGTGATGTGTCTGTGGGAGAAAGGGGTGCATTTGGGCACACTGCTATCACATAACTTGGTGTTATTGCTACACACTGAGGTCAACTTATTTATTTGTTTGTATGCAGGACTTGCCTATTGACTGCACTAGAATACAAACCCCATAATAGTGAAAACTTTGTTTATCTATTTTACCTCAGGAGTTTCCAAATCCTGGCACAGTACCAGAAATTTAGTAGATACTCAATAAACATTTGTTGAGTGAATGAACAAATTTCAATGGTATCAAATATAAGGTAAAAGAAAGGAACCAGGTAACTGCCTTAGTGCTTCTGCAGAACCATCAGTCTCAAAGGTCTAGGGGAAAAGACACACTGAGCAACACCAAGAGCTCGGCATGTGCCCCAGAGTGTGGGATACGGGGCAGCGAGGACACTAAGGAACGCCAGGTTGGGGAGTCTGCTCTGAGATTCTGACATTGTCCTTGGGAACACAGACCGCCCCTGGCTCTGGCTCTCAGCTGATTCCCCAGCGATGCATGGGGGTGGGGAGACAGTGGTCAGGATCACAGCGGAGTTCAGAAGAATGTTACTAAGTTAGAGATGCTCTCCCTCAGGAACCAGTGCCTAGCAGATGTTGGGTCCAAATTAATGACGACTCAACTTGGAAGAGACTTTCTGAGGAGAGGCTGATGTTAGTATTTTGTGTGCTCTTATTTTTTTTTTATTGCTTTGAGAGAGAAAAAGAGAAGGAAACATTGACTTGTTGTCCCCCTCATTTATGGATGTATTGGTTGATTCCTGTATGTGTCCTGACAGGGATTGAACTTGCACCCTTGGTGTATTGGGATGGCACTCTAACCAACTGAGCTTTCCAGACAGGACTACTTTGTGTCATTTCAGTCTATGAGTATAGAGGCAATCTAAGCTTAAAAGAGATAAGCTGTGCTCTCTTTTGAGAGTTTTTTTTCCTGAATAACAATTATAATTTCATTTTGCCATTGTGTTACATTCAAAGTTTGCATAGAAATAGGGTCCCTTTCCCCTTTTTTAACTTACTATCCTCCAATTTTAAAAAACCTGAGAATCCAGACTTTTTATGTGTCCCCTTTAGTCAATCATTCACTTATTCATTTCTTAAATGCACATTTATAGAAAAGCTACTGTATGCTGGATTTCCAAACATATTTAAAATAAACACTACTCTCATCCCCGGGGAGCTTAAAATTTAGTGGGGACTCAATAAATTCATGAACCATTACAACAGAGTATTATTAGTAAAGATGAAGTACAGAATGCTATTTAAGACTTTGATAGAGAATACCCATCCCAAACCGAGGGCATTTGAAATTTATTCTGAAAGCAATGTATCATGACCATTGCAAAAGTGAACAATGATGCCAAGCTACATCAATGCCATGCCGGCTCTTCAGCTCTCTCTCAGTGGCCTTGGGCCAGTGACCTTATCTTTCTGAATTATCTTTCCTTTTCTGTAAAATGTAAACAATAATAGAAACCCACTTGAATAATTACTATGAAAGTTTAATGAGTTGAAAAATTGAACCTTCTTAGCACACTTTTTGGCATAAGATAAGGGTTTAGTATAAGGTAGCTATCATTCTCACAATCATTGTTAACTGTTATTGTTGTTATTCATGACATCTAAGCTGACACTCAAAAGATAAATGCAAAGGACCCACACAAGGCAAGGAGAAAGAGTGATCTAGGAAGGGAAAAGGGGAAAGCAAATGTCAAAAGACCAAAGAAGGTGTGGAAAGGAAAAAGAAAAACAATACACCCAAGGTGAGCAGAGCTTGCTCTAGTGAGGGAATCAGCCGTCATCACTCGGCAGACACTCAAAGGCTGTCAGGGGAGAGGGGCAGAGGGGACCTTCACGCACGTGCTGACTGGAGGTTGTTGGCACAGGGCAGAAGTGGGGCATCTCAGTTTGGGGGGCATATCTGGCTTTCTCTGCTTGGTCCTCAGTTGAAAGCTGGGGACGGGGGGCCTACAAACAGAGAAGACTGGCAGTTGCAGAGCCAGTTCTGACTTTCTGGGGTGACTGCCACAGAGGATCTCATTCACCTGCCCGGGCTTCTTAGGTGGGTACAAGTTCTATCATCATATACGCCTGGGCTATTGTGCATCTGCAGTTTTATTCCCCTGAAATACTGTGGGTTTTTCTGGGAACTAACAGTTTGGTATAAGGAGAGCATTACAGCTCAGCGAGGAAGAATAAGAATGGTGAGAGGTAAGCAGGGTAAACAGAAGCCAAATTATGCGAAGTCATGTGTTGTCGGCCTGTCTGTCTATCAAAGTGGGTATTTTTAACAACGGTTCACTTACCTTGCCAACTGGACCATAATATAAATCACGGGTAACAAGTCCATACTTGGAAGACCCACTCGAATGCTATTACTCACTTGGTAGACAGAATATGCCCTCTGCCCCCAAAGATGCCCATGCCCTAACCCAGGGAACATGTGGGTAGGTTACTTTACACAGCAAAAGGGACTTTGCAAATGAGTGAGGTTGAGGACCTTGAGATGGGATGATTTCTCCAGTTTGTTCAGTTGGCCGCAATCTAGCCACACGAATCATTAGACGTGGAAGTGGATGGCAGAAGAGTGGGTCAGAGAGGTGTAACAGCAGAAGACACGGGAGGGATGACAGGCTGGGGAGGGCTCAACCCATCATTGCTGACTTTGAGGATGGAGGGCGGGAGCCGTGAACCGAGAAATGTAGGTGGCCTCCAGTTCTGAAAATGGTCCTCGGCTGACAGCCATTCAGCAAGTGAAGACTTCAGTCCTGTGACCACAAGAAACTGAATCCTCCTAACAACCTGCATGAGCAGAGAAACTGGCTCTCCCCCAGATCCTTCAGAAAGAAATGCAGCTCTGTAGCCACCTTGGCCAGACCTGGGTCAGACTTTCGACCGACAGGGGTCTAAGGTTTGTGTTGTAAAGAGCCAAGCTTATAGTAATCTGTTCCAGCATCAATGGAAAACTAATGCAGTCACCAAAATTTATAAAATTTTTCTTTCCTCTCTCAGTGGAAGAGCACCCCACCATGCTGTCTCTGGACCTCTGTGAACCCCCAGATCCTCATTTGTAAAATGGCACATTCATAGATGGTATAGTGGAGTCATTTTGGAATTGGTATGTGTTAAGGTTCACATGGCCAATTCCTTCCACTGGCTCTGCATATTAAAATATCAGCTTTCGTTTATTGCATTCATACTTAAGCCCAAGAGGTGGGTATTTTTATCCTCAATCAACATACGAGAAAACTGGGATTCAGAGAGAATTAGAACTAGACTTAGAGAGCCAACATGGAAACCCAAGTTGTCTTACTGCACAGCCTGGGTGTTCGCACAACCCTCCATTTCTCCCGTTTGCTCATGTTTCAGAACCGGGACTGTTGTGACGCTCCTTCACCAGCCTTCGTAATCACACGCTTTAGAGCTGACTCATAACATCAGTTTTTTTTTTCTTTTCTTTTTTTTTTTTGGAGGAATCGATGATTTATCTTCTGTAGGCATCATTAGATATAGCACAACCATTCATGATGGCAATCATTGTCATTCAAACAACATGATAATCTTCAACTGAATTGAAGATAAAAAAATTAAGTCAGTTTTTTCTCATTTATTGGCATGTCAGGGCAACAAAGCATTGCACAGTTAATATTTAACATCCTGGGATGAAGCGTTGTATTTCTGGGTTGCACCGTGTATTTGGTGTTGTGGTGAAACTTTCCCATGATGCAGTGGAGTAAGGTTTTTAAGAGCAGAGCTCCAGAGTCAGACAGTTCGGTCAAAAGATCATGGACAAAACACATGGCCCCTCTATAGCCACGTTTCTTCGTCTGCAAAAGAGGAATATGAATAGTGCCACCCCGTGAGTGTAGGAAGTATCAAAGAGGAAAAATCATCAGAGGGTCCTTCAGCCTGACCAGACTGGAGCAGTTCTCTGCATAAATGTGTGCTTTCAAATGATCATCTGTTACCACTCTAGGGATCTTGAAACTTCAGCTGTCACTCGGACCTTGTTCTGCACCTGGATATTAGTAGAGGATTGATCATTTTAAGTAATGAAAACCTTCATAGCCTTCTTACATTGTTACTACCAGGTTCTTTGTTTCAATGAAAACTATTTCTTTTTGTTTGATCTTTGAAAATATGAAGTATATTTGAGTTGAAGGTCTTTTGGGTATTAAAAAAACACTCAATTTAAACCAAATATAAAGGTGTAGTAGGGACCGGTATCTGGTCGGTATGGGATGCCGTGAGCATTCTTTGAAATGACCTAGAGAAATCATACACCCAGTAACAGAGAATGATTACAAGCCGAACTCAAGGGATTGGAAGCTAGAAGCTGAGAAAATCTTTGTGTCTAAGGAAATTCCGGTCTCTCCTGCCCCAGCTTTTCTCAACACACCTGCTGCATGCCTTTCTCCCAGAACCAGCTTTCTCTGTGCCTCCAATTGGCTGTGGCCTCGAAATGGCCACCCCATCTGCCAAGGCCAACCACCAATCAGCTCCGCCTCTTGGCTCCTTAATTCCAAACATCCCTGAGACAACAAAGCAACAGGGCAAGATGCTCTTTTTCAATGAAGTTACACAAATGAAAAGTCCCAAAGAAGCCTTTTCCCTCCTACAGTCAGGCGTGGCCAGGAGTGCAACAGGATTGTGTAGAACAAAGAAATTGGGGACATTTCCTAGGAAAACAATGTGGCTGGAACTTGCAAAAATGACGTCTCGGTGTAGAAAATAACTGAACTGGAATCCTCCTAGGCAAACTACAAATGTAC